ATGATGTTTGGAATTCTGGGGAATTGAAAGAATATATAAATGCTAGAGGGGCTGCTACTGCTCTTCTTCTTCCTCCTCCCCTCTCCTTTTCTCCTCTCTCTCTCTCTCTCTCTCTCTCTCTCTCTCTCTCACCCCTCACTCCCCTCTCCCTCCCCCCTGCTGCTGCTGTTGCTCTTGTGGTTTGTCAAGTGGTCATGCACAAAGAGATGAGAAGAAACTTGGTTTTCTAACAGTGAGGATCAAACTTGCCCCAAGGAACTTGATGTCCCTAATCAGCGGGGAGTAGTCTAACAATATCAATGCCCCTTTCCTCTCTAGCCTTCTTTCTCTCCTACCTAGTGTTGGGAGGTTGGGTGGAATAGGGCTGTAGATGGGTGGTAGAAAAAGGAACCTATAAGGTAGCCAAAAGTCTGAGTACAGTGGGTGGAGTAGTCAGGGTTCTCTAGAGTCACAGAACTTATGGAATGTCTCTCCATGTTAAGGGGATTTATTGTGATGACTTACAGTCTGTAATGAGCAGCGTGGATGGAAAGTTCAAGAATGTAGCCGTTGCTCAGTCCCACGAGGCTAGTTGTTGGAGCTTGTCTTCTGTAGAAGTAGGTTCTAACAGATGTGTTGGCAAGTAAGTAAGTAAGCAAGCAAGCAGTCGAAGAAGAGTGAGCCTTCCTTCTTCCAAAGTCCTTATGGAGGTCTCCAGCAGAAGGTATGGCCCAGATTAAAGGTGTGTACCACTATGCATGTATCTGGGACTTATCCTAGGCTGACCTTGAACTCAGAGATCTCCTTGCCTCAGTCTCCTGGGATTAAAGGTGTGTGCTACCTTGCCTGGGCCTATACTTTTCATGGCCACTGTGCCTTAAGATTTCCATGTTAAGATTTAGATCAGAAACTTGTATCTCTAGCCTCAAGCTCAGGATCACAGGTGTGCCCTCCAATTCTGGATTCCAGATATAGTCAAGTTGACAACCAGGAAGAGACACCACAGTGGAGTTTTTCAGCATGGATATGCAGTCATTTCAGACCATTAATAGATGAGATTAAACTACATTTTTGTGCTGATACTGAGGATTGAACCCCAGGTCTTATATATGCTAATTAAGGGGTCCACTGCTGAGCTATGTCCCCAGCCCTTGAAGCATTGTTCAGGCTTTGAGAAATCATGTGTGGGACGCCACAGACCTGTACAGAACAGTCACCCTCGCTTCTCTTGGGCCGGCCCTTTATAAGTCTGTTTCTTAACACCTCACCACCTGGCAACCTCTGACGGGGTTTTCCATTTCTACAGTTTTACCTTTTCTAGAATTTTTGTTTTTTGTTTTTTTGTTTCTCAAGACAGGGTTTCTCTGTGTAGCCCTGGCTGTCCTGGAACTCACTCTGTAGACCAGGCTGGCCTCGAACTCAGAAATCCGCCTGCCTCTGCCTCCCGAGTGCTGGGATTAAAGGCGTGCATCTACGTTACTGTGTGAATCAACAGCTCAATCATTGTTTGGGAGTTGTACTCCATGACATGAACCTACCATTTCATCCAGTCACCCACGGAAGGATGGTCGTTACTTCTGACACAGGTAAGCCTGCTCTGAGCACTGACATGAAAGTTATCAGCACACGGGGTTTTCTGTGAACACCCATCTTTAGTTCACTTGGGTAAATACCTGATGGGTCATATAGTGTCCTTTAAAATATTGTTATGTGTGTATGCCCTGGCAGTGCATGGAGGTCAGAGAATAAACTGTGTAAGTCAATTTTTCTTTTTGTTCCTTTTCTTCCTTCCTTCCTTCCTTCCTTCCTTCCTTCCTTCCTTCCTTCTTTCCTTCCCTCCTTCCTTCCTCACTATCTACTTTGCGGGCTCTGGGAATTAAAGTGAGGTTGTCAGGTTCAGTGCATTTACCTGCTGGGCCATCTCACTGACCAGATACATGCACTTTTACTTTTTGCAGAAACTGCCAGGCAAAGTGCCTGCATACATTTTGCACATTCTTAGGGTGGTTTATTTTGGATTCAGGTTTCAGGGGGTACAGTCCAACCTGGTTGGGGAGAGCATCGTGGCAGGAGTGATTCAATGGAAGCTTACTGTATGACTTGGCTGATTAGAAACTAAAGAGTCAAGCCGGGCAGTGGTGGCGCCCACCTTTAATCCCAGCACTTGGGAGACAGAGGCAGGTGGATTTCTGAGTTCGAGGCCAGCCTGGTCTACAGAGTGAATTCCAGGACAGCCAGGGTTACACAGAGAAACCCTGTCTCAAAATAAAAATAAAAATAGAAGAAACTAAAGAGTCTGGATAAGGATGGGGTATAGCCTTCAAAGGGCTTCCCTAGTGCCCTACTTCAGCCAACCAGGTTTCAACTTTAAAGGTTCAACTGCCTTGAAAGAGTACCTTCAGACGGGATCAAGTGTTTAAACCCCATAGACCTATGGGGCACATTTCACATGCAAATCACAATACTAGTTTCTCTGTGTCCAGACAGCTCCCAATTCCTCTAGTGGTACACTCTATGTGAAATGTGGGTTGGTTTGTTGGTAGTTATTTCCTTTGTCCACTCTTCCTGCTGCATTCTTGAATCGGCCCTGCGTGACTCCCAAATGAATCCATGTTATTTGCACTTAGCTTTTCCTTTCCCCCGTTTTCTTTTTCTTTCTTGAGGCAGGGTTTAGCTGTGAATTCCTGGCTGGCCATGCACTTGAAGCAATTCCTCTGCCTCTGCCTTGCAAATGCTATTATTTACCGGTGTGTGCCTGCCCACATGCCCCATCTTTGACACATTTAAAAAAAATTGTCTCCTTTTTGGTGGTGGGGATAAAGCCATAACCTTATACATGATAGACCAGTACTTTATCCCCAAGCCCCACCCCTAGTCCTTCCCCACTTGGTATGTTACTTCCATGACAGGAGAGGAAAGCTGGGGTCCACTGATGATGGGTCAGGCCTCCATGCCTGGCAGGCAGTCCCTGAATCTTGTGGTTGTTGGGTTTTCTAGTCCTACTTCAGCCATTGTGCCATGCTAGCGTGTGCTTCCTTCTGTCTGTATTCCTCTGTGCTCTTCCCTCAGCGGACCTGGTTTTCCTTATTGCCCCGTGGCTTCAGCTTTTGTTCCCCCCATGAAGATTCAGAATCTTCTAAGAAGGATGAAGAGGGACATGTGTGTGGGTGAAATTTCTTAAGTGAAAAATCAGCTATCACAGTGATGGGCAGTTTCAGTACTCTCCCCACCTTTCATGAGTACACGGTACAGCTCAGGGAGAAGCCTACACCGGAGCCAGTGTTTCTACTCTATGGCTAGGGGCTCCAAACTCACCATATTCCACACATGGCACTTTCAAGTTCATTGACCATTTTGGTTGACTCGTATTTCCAGTTCCTAAGGAGCTGGCTATGTCTATCATGTGACTGTGACAAAGTCCTAACCCTTTAGAGGGATCTTACCCCAGATTTTCAGTTACTTTGTTGCTTTGAAATCTTGATCTTTTGGATGAAGGGAACTGCACATTTTCTCAGTCGTAAGCTTGGGAACTCTTCTGAACTCTGTACATTTCTGACATAGAACTAGGAATTTCTATTCTTTTGTACCTTTCCACTAAATACTTTTTTCAAGCCTAGCTTTGGAAACTTCACTTCATATCATCTATTTCATTTACTTGGACTTTATTTCCCCCTTATTCTTTGAAGATATTCATAATCATCTGAAATTCTTTCGTTAATTCCATCGATTCTGTTTTTCTTCTGGTATCAATCATATGTCCTGCCCCTCTTTTTTAAAAAAAGGTTTTATGTTCTTTTTCTTATGTGTATATGTGTGTGGGTATGTACACGTGTGTGGGTGCACTGAGTCCAGAAAAGGGCATCAGATTCCTTGGAGCTGGAGTCATAGGTGGTTGTGAGCTGCCTGGCATGGGTACTAGGAACTGAACACTGGTCCTTTGCAAATGTAGTACATGCTTTTAACCACCGAGCCAGCTCTCGAATTCCATGTTTTGGTTGAATGCATGACTTACGGAGACATATAGTATACAGCAAATGCTCTTTCTTTACTTCTTGTGCTTTCATTCACGATTCCATTTTATTTATTTATTTATTTATTTATTTATTTAAATCAATAGAAAGTCTTTATTAGCTGGTCAGGGACTACATTGGGTGTCAGACATCTTTGATGAGATCACCACAAAACTTCTACTTCATTCTACGGGTACACAACATTTTAATTCACTCACAATTGAAATGTTAATTAACTCAGGTGAAGTGTTTCAAATAGAAATTATTCTTTTTGAAATATGGATGGAATTCTCACTGTGACCAGCCTCCATGCCTCTGCTCTCGGGCCTTCCCAGCTCACTTTGACCTGAAACCTCCTCTTCTAAGGCGTTAGGCTCGGGGGCTTGCTTTCGGATGCCCTGGAGTCGGTCTTGGAGGCTGTGGTACCCAGCCCCATCCCCGCGCCCACGTCCTCTCCTTTCCCTAGACCCTACGCGCTACGGTTTCCGCCAGCTAGAGCGAACGCGAGTGCGCGTGCGTCGGCGCAGAGTTCGCGCCTCTCCACTCCAGTCGCGCGGAAGCCAGACCCGGCCGTTACCGTCTCCGGCCGCGTTTCAGCTCCACTTGCGACGGCGGCTCAGCCGTCGTAAAGCGCAGCCCCGCCGACTGCTGCAAGGCGATTTATGACAGCCTCCGGTTCGACTTACGGCGTGCGGCCGTCCACACTCCACTCGCCTGGGGCCTCGGCCTTCTCGCCCGGCCGAAGCCGTCTCTGGGCGCTGCTCTTTCTAGCGCGCGCCGCCAGGCTCTCCCTGGCGGTCAGGCTCCAGGGACCTCGGGCGTCCACCCGCCGCCGGCTGGCTTTTCCGCCCGTCTTCCTCCCGGCGTGCACCGCGGCGCGGCCATGTTGCCGTAGTGTTGTTTTCTTCCTGCGGAGGCGAGGGTCCGCTGCGGACCGCGACGCGCGGGCCTCGCCTCTGCTCGCTCGCGGGCGCCGGCCCTCGCCGCTCCCCCGCCTCCCCGGCCCGCACCAGAGCTGTCGGCCCGCCAGGGGCTCGGGGGACGGCTGAAGGCCGGGCCCGGGGACCACCATGGCGGCCGCCCTGGGCGCGGGCGGAGGAGCAGGCGCTGGAGGTATGTGGGCCGCGGCGGGGGCCGTAGACCGGGCAACCTTTTTGTAGGGCCTTCGTGCTGCCCCGCCACAGCGGGAGCCGCCCCGGGCCTGCCGGCGCCGTTCAGGCCGGGAGCGCGGAGCGTTAGGCCCGAGGTGCCGCCGCGAGATCGGCGACGGGCCCGCGACGGGGTCGGGGTTCGGGCGGCCCTGGCGACTTCCAGTCTTCCTGGAAGATTCGCCCTGGGCAGCGGCAAGCAGCTCACTCAGTGTAAGAGGAATTTCGCGGTTTATTAGAGTGCTTTAAATAAACCTATTGTCATCTAAGGAAAACCTGTAAGTGTTTGGCAGTGTGCTTGAAAGGGATAAAGACCGTGTACAAAGGTTTAGTTACTGAACCAGTTGCTTAGGTATTTTCATTTTGCAATCGTGGACGATATGGAAAGACTAGCCAGTTATAAGTAAAACCACGTTTTGTTGGATCATGTTTTTTTTTTTTTTAAAAAAAAGATGTGGAACAATACTTTAAAAAAATGACGTTTCAGGACTTGGATAAAAGAAGACACATGGTAAAATGTGAACAACAAAAGCATTTGCCGGCTAGTACTGGCTATAGACACTTCAGCTATTCTACATGCTCCAGAAGTGTTTTGTGATGCTTACAGATAGGGGTGGTGGTGGTGGTGGGGGGGAGGCCGTGTTAAACAACCCTGCTTAGGAATTCAGACCTCAATATCAGAATATTTGTATGATAAAACGAAAAGCCTAAACGGCAGAGGCTACATGCCAGAATGCCATTTCTGGCAGGATGTGGTATGGTGTATGTCACTGCCAGCCTACATACATGATTTTTTTAAAACATACAAATTCGAGGCTTTCTAGTTAAATGTTTAATATATATTTTATCTGACTTATCTGATTAGAGAAGGTAAAAACTAACGTTTTATATTTGAGTCTCAGTGTTACGGGAACCCTTGGATAAAAGCTGTTCTTAGTGAAAAGATGAAGATGATATTTTCATTTTCCATTTGTTTTCACTAGTGTGGATTGGGGTTTTCCAGAGACTATGTGGCCTGTGAAGACTTGACAGTGATGGTTTGAGGACCGTGTGCTTTTATGATCTTTTAAGTTTCTCATTTAAAACTTGAAAAAAATAGTAAAAACTGAAAAATATCCACACAAATAAAATTTGAGGGCTGTGTATTAATTTTTAGCCAGAAAGTTTGAGGGTTATAATTTTAGAGGGCTAGGTTGTTTTTGAAATTTGGAATATTTCTTCCATTGTACTATCTTGCCAGCTGTCCCATTGCTTAGACTCAGTCCAAACTCCTTGAGAAAGTAGGCAAGTTCCTTTGACTATTCACCCTGGTACTCAGCAGCCCTGCAGTCCTGGAGCTGCTTGAGCTCCTTGCCTCTGGACTGCCTCCTCTGAGACTAACTGCTGAGGAAGTTCACCCTTCCTAGCTCTTTCTGAACCCTGGCTGGTTCAGCTTAGCTGTTCTGACTCAAACTCTTCTCCAAGCTACCTGATTCAATCTGGCTTCTCCTGAATTGCTCTGTTTGGCCCCAGACTAACTAGCAATCTCTTGTAATCTTCGGCTCCTTCTTATTCTCTGACTTGTTCTCTCTTCAACCTGTCTTTGTAAAGCTGCCTCCTCCCTCCCTTCTTTACCCCCCCTCTTCCCCCCTGATTCTTAAATAGCTTCCCTTTCCTCTCTCTTCCGAGAGTAGCCCGTTCTGTCAAATCTTTCACTCATTCGTCACTTTGTCTGCCACTCAATTAGACATCCCTTTCAAACATTGGTACTTTCTTCTACAAACTAACCTTTAGTTGTAGAAACAGAAATCAGAGTCTGGCATAATAGTACACACTCTAATTACCCATGAATTTTGTGTAGTCCTAAATCACAATGTCGGCGTGAGATCTAACTGTGAAACTCTGAAAGCCACTGTGCTAGGTGATATGCTACACTGAGGTGTCAAGTAAGCAATCTACATTTTGAAGCAGGGGAAAGAAAGAAAGAAACAAAGAAAGAAATTAAGGAGGGAGGGAGGAGGCAGTTTTACTGGGAGAGTTTTACCTTCCTTGTTAGGGATTAAAAGTGTGTACTAAGGGCATGTCTGCATTTTAGCAGAGAGATTAAAGGTGTGTGCTAAGTCTGAGATACAACACAACTAGAAACATGTTTATTTCAGTAAGTAACACAATCTTGGAGTTCACAGTGTGATCAAATATCCTGTAACTATCTCCTAATTCAGCACGTTCTGGTTCCTGAGGGAGGAGACCTTACTAGAGAAATCAGTGGCTTCTTTCTATTTATCTGTTTCCTACCTCAGTCCTCCGTTTCCGTCTAGTATCACACTTTTTTTTCTCCTGAACAATTGTAATCTGTAATTTTTTTTATTAGATATATTTATTTATTTTATGTATATGAGTACACTGTAGCTATCTTCAGACACACCAGAAGAGGGCGTTTGATTCCATTACAGATGGTTGTGAGCCACCATGTGGTTGCTAGGAATTGAACTCAGGACCTCTGGAAGAGCTGTCAGTGCTCTTAACCACTGAGCCATCTCTCCAGCCCTGTAATTTTTTTTAAGACTGTGAGGACAAGCATGTTTGCCTCCAATGCCATGTACCCCAAGTTCCTGACCTTGTACATGTGTTCAGCAAATACTTGATAAATGATAATTTCTGAGATTGAAATATTTCATTTAAAATAAAACAGTGCCCCTTTGTCCATTAGATCTGTAATGTTTGCTGTAGAACCAACAAAACCATTACACTGGAAATATTTACATTGTAGGTAATACCTTCTTTATAGATTGCTTACTTGACACCTCAGTGTAGCATATCACCTAGCACAGTGGCTTTCAGAGTTTTACAGTTAGATCTCACACTGACATTGTGATGTAGGACTACACAAAATTCATGGGTAATTAGAGTGTGTACTATGACAGACTCTGATTTCTGTTTCATTGCATCAAAAGGCTGATGTGTACCTGGCATGGGTTTATAATCCCAGCACTTGGGGAGTTGAGTTGGAAGGGTTGTGAGTTGAGGCCGCCTGGGCTGCATAGTGAGAGTCTGTCTTTACCCCTTCCCCAACAAAACCTGGTTGTGGCCTAATACTGCATTGTTAAACTAAATCCATTAGATGTCCCAGAATTATCAGTTTAAAATTATCTCAATATTGTAAGGGGTTGGTATTTTGGGGCAGGGTTTGGAGGTGGTGGTAGTAGTAGTAATATTTTCCATGTCTAGAATGTAACCAGAAACTAATGGAATCTCTAGGTGGCCAAAATAGGTAATCACAGAGGTACAGTTATGTCGGTGCAAGACTTAGGTAAAGCATGCCCATAACTTTTGATAGTAGCTGTTGACAAGTGAGGGTGGGAGAAGCATGGGGCCTTGGCTGGTAAAGAGAATATTGCACCTGTAACATTGGACATTGGAGAGTAGCATAAATGCAAAAGTCAGTCTTTAAAGACATCATAGAACAAATAATACATTTCAAGGTCTAGTGCTTGCTTTGCAGTATAAAATGAAAAGTCAGAACATAAATTTTAGCCAAAACCCTCCAAGCTGATTTGTATGTTAAGACCTAACAGTTCATAAAACAGCTCATGAACTGGGTTAGGATGAGTGCCTTGTCTCACAATTTAGAAGTAATCTTGAACCTTAAATACATTGATGTAAAGATGAGGAAAATAAAACATACTTGTAAAATGTTGTTTCTTGGGTCTATCTTACCAAAGAAAAAGATTAAGAAATTTTAGACATACCTAAAAGTAAAAAGATTGAGCCCACTCTCAACATTTATCAACATTTTGATGTTGTTAACTCATGGGTTAGGTTTTTGTTTTAAAGATTTATTTATTTGTATGAGTACACACACTGTAGCCAGAAGAGGGCATTGGATCCCATCACAGATGGTTGTGAGCCACCATGTGGTTGCTGGGAATTGAACTCAGGACATCTGGAAGAACAGTTGGTGCTCTTAACCACTGAGCCATCTCTCCAGCCTGGTTTTTGGTTCTTTAAGACTGTGTTTTTGTCAGTTTAATGTTACTACAGTGGCCAGACAAGTTCAGTTCTACTGTGTCTAGCAAGTTAAAATGAATTTTACAATGACTATAAGATGTGTTTGTGACACCCTGCACATGTATTATATATATGTTCATATGAGTGTGTGCAGGTATGTGTCCGTGTGTGTGTGTGAGTCTGTGTGTGTGTGTGTGTGTGTGTGTGTGTATGTAGGACAGTGGTCCTTGTATTACTCTTCAACTTTTGGAGACAGGCTCTCACTGAGCATAGAATCTATCCATTTGATTGAGCTAGGATGTCTGGCCAGTAAGCCAGCGGGATTCCCCAACTCTTCCTTCTCCCATCTTTTAGCATAGGGATAATGGATTCAACAGCTTCTGGTCCAGTTTTTTATGTGGGTACTGGGGATCTGGACAAGGTCTTTATGCTTGTGTGGCAGACATCTTCCCAGTCCTTGAGTATAGTTTTTCAGATAGGGAAAGATCTGTTGTATACATACCTACTTTGGAAGGTAATCCTGTGCATGTTTGTACATACACAGATAACAGTGTACTTACTTTTAATAATGTGAATAGAATGTGTATCATTTGGGTTTGCTTGTTCACTTGAGAACCATTTCTGTGTCTGTAGGTTAGAGATGCATCCACCTACCATTAGTATTTCATGAACATCTTCATTTCTTTTTCTTTTTCTACTGCAGGGTCTTGCCCTGTGCTAATGTCTGAAGATGGATACCTTTAAGATTGGGCTCACTGAGGCATATCTCTGGAGAGTGTGGATAGCTACTTTCTAGTCATCCTCAGCACTCAGTACCATTCTGTCATTCCGTCAGTCAAATACTCCCTTTCTCTTTTAAATGAGCCTGAATTTTTGCTACTGAAGATGGGAAAAGTAGCTTCAATGCTGTATTTTATATTCCTTATAGTGCTCAAATGAATCTTTATGTGCCTTGTAATTACGTGTTCATTCACTTTT